TAGGTTTTTATTTCCATTTTCCCATTCAAGTAAATCTCCAAAAAAAAAAAAAACCCCAAAAGCAGTACTTAAAAAGATGAACTGAAAAGATGATCTCCGGTAATGTATTGATAAGCTTGATAAGCCTTTCAAGTCCCATTGGTGAGGGGCAAGGGAGAAAGGTATCTGCCTGGTTTGTTTTCTGTCCATTTCAGCAAAGATCATTTCACTGATGAAATTGGGCCAGTGGACCATTTTTTAAGGAGATCAAGGAGGGGAAAAGGTAGGCATCCATGGGGAATCATGCACAAGGGGCAAGGTGTAGGTCCCCTGCGAGAGGCCGATGGACGAACTTGTGGATGTTTCAGAGGTGTGAAAAATCAGCTTCTCTGTCTCCAGAAAATAGGAGAGGCTGTCTTCGTTTTAACCTTTCTAATTCCTCTTCTATTCTCTGTGACATTCATTCAGCTGCCAAGAGCGTTTGGCAAGGTTTGGGCCAGCGAGCACACTTTCAGTGACCGCTAACCTTGGTATGTCCTGACACTTATGATGAGTGTCTGCAGGACACAGAAGGCAGGCAGCCTGCTATGTCAGGCTTTTATTATGTACTGCAGAGGCTAGGGACAGTCAGTTTAATAAAACAAATCATCCTTGAAGGTAAAGCAACTGGGAAGAGGAGGAGGAAGACAGGGGGGAAAATGTGTCTTTGCCACTCATTCTGATTTAAAAAAAAAAAAGAAGAGCAAAATAACCATCCACACAGCAACACACTGAGTGTGCGCATACCGGCGCATGTGTGTGCGCGCTGTGTGTACATGCTGTGCACACACCCCGGCCCCTGACTGAGCAGATTTGAAACATCCTCCCATTTTCCCCATCTCATCCAAGACCACAGGGCCCTCTTTTGCTGGGAGGAGATCAAGTACAAACAACTGCGATGAGATTGGTAGGTGCTGCTAGCCAGCCCCCTTCAAATCTGTGAGTGCCTTCAAGTGCCTCGTGGCGAGGCAAGGAGAAGCAAGACCATTTGGGGTGAGGCTCCTATATTGGGATGCCTTTTATCAGAGCAAAGTTTCCACTCTCCTCTCCTGAAGAACACTCAGCTCAGCAGCTCCCACAATAGCTTCGGAGCTCCAGCCAGCGACTTTGGAAGCCTTTTGTTTTTCCCCTGTGGCATGTCCAAAGGCATGGCCTTCCCTCCCCCTCCCGCCGCCTGCATTGTCTTGCATTCCAGGGGCTTGATTGACTGTTGCCACCTGATGCTGAGGAGATACTCTAGGGTTCATTCTGCACATTGTTGGGTTCTATTAAAAGAAACCTAGATAAGGGATTACTTGTCACTAAGGGATTTTCTGCAGATGTTTATTAGTGATTGGAAATCCATTAGGTGTGAAGAGGTACAGAAAAATATGGGCAATACCATTCTCTGCATTCTAAGACACCCCCCAAAACATCAGACAGCACCCCCGCCTCCCAGCTCACTCTGTTGAATGAAGTTGAGGAAAGTGTCTGGTGGAGAGGCAAGGAGCTCTTTTTTCATGGGTGATATTTCTACCTGGGGACGGAATTCCTTGGCACGCTCTCAGAAGATCAGTTGCTACCCATCCGTTTACCTCTCTGGAGCCACCAAACAAAGATGAATTGCTCTAGTATTAACATAACTGTATTTTATTTAGTCCAAATTGTTGTATGAGTATTGCCTCAAAGTAAGTAAGCAGTCCATTTCATGTGTTTGCAAACAATTCATCCCTTCTCAAACATAAACCAAACGCTAACGTCTCTTCCTGAGATCCTTTGTAGCATTCCCATTTAGTTTGAAGTTACTAACTCTTCTGTGGTTTTTCTCAATCACAGATCCACAGCTTGTCGAGCTTTGATGCTTCAGATAAGTAGGAATAATGAACATGCATTTAAAAGGTTTCGTGGAAAGTGTCTTTCCAGCATGGTTTCATGGAAAGACACTTGCACAGCTTATTTTTGCATGAATCTGTTAATCTCGTGATTTCTTCCTCTCGTAGAAGTTCATAGTTTCTTCACCTATAAAACGATGATTTCTGAGATCTATTCCAACTCTTTAAATTCCATCTTATTTTAAAATTCCTTTTCTTAAGTATTAAGGGAGAACATAAGTGTGATGCTAAAGCAATATGAAATAAAACAGAAGGCAAGATCTCATTATGAACTATTTATCAAAGACTACTCAAAATACGCTGCTAAGCGTTATGGGGTTGTGCAGAGAAGAAACCATGGCTCTTTATCTAAAGACATCTTGTGATGAACTCATCACGACTAGATATAAATAGGTCAAAAGTTAAGTACCCTGAAGACAGATTCAAAAGGTGGTAAAGGACAGACCCAGAGCACTACCAAGAGACACGGATGTTTAACGCAGGATAGAACCCACTGAATACCATCAACAAGCAGTAGTGAGGCTGAGGCTGCGCGCCCCCCAGAAGCAGTGACTTTGATTTGCTCTCAGGCAAGTCCTGGAAGTACTCTGCCCTCCCTCTGGTGCTGACTGGCGTGGCTGTGGATGTATCTTCCTCCTCTGAAACAATGGTGGAAGGAAGGGGGCGGGGCTTAGTCAAAGAACATGCAGGAAGGACTCACGGACACAGACAACGGAGAAGGGGACTGATTGTGGCGAGAGGGGTGGGCTGCGTGGAGGGAGGCAAAAGGGAAAAAAATTGGGACAACTGTAGTAGAGAAACAATAAAAAATAAAGTAGAAAAAAGAACAGAGAAATTTAAAAAAGTGCCCCTGTGACCTTGGCCCCTGGCATCCCAGGCCTCCGGTGGGGTCCTGGGAGGGCGCGGGGCTTCGAGTGTCCTCTGACTTCGCCCGGAGCAGCTGCCGTGCCCGCTGCAGTCACGGCTCTCTCCGTGCCCAGCCGCGCGCCTGAGTGTGCAAGGAACATAGATCTTCATCATGGCTCTGTTGCCGATGGCCAGCAAAGCCACACTTCTTGAAATGTTTATTTTAATAAATGCCTGTGATTATGTTTCTGTAGCATTTGGTTAACAGCTCCCAAACCAAGTAGTTAGAGTGGGTAGCTGCGCCGCCTAACTCTTCTCCAGCCAGATTCCATCTCTCAGTAATGCCCATACGATCAGATGGGAAGGATTATCTTCGGGGGAAGAGGGGAGAGCACTTAGCAAAACTGCTTAACGACTTTTTATTTAGTATAAGGTGAGTGGGAGTGCTAATCGCTCCTCCAGGGCCCTCCCGTACCACAAGTACTCATGTATATGCAGGAGATTTGGGGGAAAATCACTTGAGTTCCTTAGAAAATCCAGATGACTTCTCAGCGGGGAATGGCCGCTGGGGTAGCCAGGTTTGCGCATGGACGGTTTTCTAGGAGGTGTTGGGAGTTGTGTCCTGAGAAGCTGGCTGGTGTGTGTGTGTGTGTTTCGGAGGTGCCCCTCAGAATTCTCACTCTTTCTAGATTCTGATCCGCCCTAGTTGGGGGCCCTTTGTTTTTCTGGGGAGTTGCTAGGTTTTTTTTTCAAAGGACAGATGACTTACCATTGGCAGCACTGAACGTCTTTGCCTGATTTGAAATGTTTCATACAATCTGTGTACAAATGGTGATAGTTCTAGTTTTCTTTAACAGTTACTATCATTCTGGAAAGGTCTGTTGCACAAATTGAGAAAAGGTGGGGAGAAAAGGATCACATATGTTCCACAGGACAACACCTCCCTTCTAGTTTGATAAGTGGGATGTCTGAACCAAGATGACACGCTTTCACCTTTTATACACGTGGAGACAGACCTGTCCACATGGACAGCTACAGGCAGGGCCTTGCTCATGTGTCTGCAGTTGCTGTGAACATCAGGCACCGCGAGCGCAGAAGCAGCCCGCCGCGAAAAGAGATCTATGGAGTGTTGATGTGTATTTGGAAACGGGAGTTCGTGGAATGATTCTCTGAATCCATTATCTTGGTGTAGGGAGAGATAGGCCATGCTTTGGAATACTAAGTCAGTACATCAGCAGCTACCCCTTTCCCTAGACAAGAGGTCAGACTCTTAAGTAAACGGTTAGGCTCACGCACGACACAGAAACACGCACACTACACACATACACTAATTGCTGTGGAAGAAAAGGATTAACAATTAGGGATTCTAAAAAGAATATTTGGAGAATGTTTACCTTGGATTCTAATGACTTTGAATAATTCCCTTGATCTCTATGAACCTCAGTTTTCTCACCTTAAGATGGGGATAATAACATCATATTATTATGATGTTGGGGCATTGAATGACATAATTCATATTCAATCCATAACACGGTGTCCAACACAAAATAAGCACTCCAAAAATGTTAGTTTTCATTATTATTATCAGCTGCCCAAATTACTCTTTTATGGAGCAATTCTAATCTCAAGGTCAAGTACTTTCTGATGTAGAATTTTAGGTTCGATACAAACTTCATGTGTTGGGACTCAGTGTCAAGGCTGTTTTCGTACTCCTTTTTGTATGTAGAGTGTTTTGTAGTACAGATTGCTTTAATCAGACAATTTAGCATCTGAGTCATCCTCTGACACAGGCAGGCGATGGAGATTTGGGTTTTCTTGGGTTCAGCGCACATCAAAGGCCAATTATTTACTGTTCTACTTTTGAGAATACGTTTTGTTTTCATAATGGAAATCAAAGGGAGATACCACTCCCGTTCCGAAAGACTGGTTGGGGGCTTGCTTCTGGAACACACCAGAAGGGAGGAATCCCAACAGAGCGTTCCCTTTCTCTACGCTAATGTTCACGACGGAACCCTAGCTTTCCAGTAGGTCTGCATGCATCCTTGGCACAGGTCCCTCTCCGAAGCTCTACAGAGCTGTCAACCCCACATTACAATGCTACTATATATAACAGCTTTACATAAGAGAAGAGAGGCTGGCCATTTTTAGAAAATGCAGGTGCCACGTAGGCCCCTTTCTGAAAGAAAGAACGTAGCTCAGTTTCCTTTGAAGAACTGAAGACTTGAAACTGAAAACTTTATTAATGCCATTGTCTCCTTGTATCAGCAGGTTCCAGAGAGATTCCTGGAAGTTGCGCAGATCACATTACGGGAGTTTTTCAATGCCATTATCGCAGGCAAAGATGTTGATCCTTCCTGGAAGAAGGCCATATACAAGGTCATCTGCAAGCTGGATAGTGAAGTCCCTGAGATTTTCAAATCCCCGAACTGCCTACAAGACCTGCTTCATGAGTAGAAATTCCAACAACTCTTTTCGAATGTATGAATAGTAGCAATCCCCTTTGGATGTCCAAGTTATACGTGTCTAGATTTTGATTTCATATGTATGTGTATGGGAGGCATGGATACGTTACGAAATCAGCTGGTAATTCCTCTTCATCACCTCTCTCTCACTTTCTTTGGTTTTCCATTGCGAGGGGATGGTTCTTTTCCTTCTGCCTTCAGTTACTTTTGCCCGAGGCCCTTAACACGTGGAGACTTAAAATAGGGTTGACGTTCAGGGAAGAGAGGAATGTTGACACGTGGGAAGTCCGTGTTCACAAGGGAAGGCGTCCGGTAAAGACGCTGCCCGACCGACGCTTTGCCGCACAGGCCAGTCGGCAGAGGGGGGCCCGCGACGCGGCACAGCTCTGCGGGCGGGCGCCGGGTCCCTTGTTTTTTCCGCCGTGAAGGTCAGAAAAGTCAATGAAACCACTTCAAAAACTTAAATATATTGTTTGGGTTGAACTCAGTAAATAGCTTTTTTATTACATGCTTAAAAATAATGCCAATGGCAGATGAACAGCTCATACTTCAAAAGTGTCACAAAAGGCCAAATTTAAAAAAGAAAAGTCATCACTATAACTGTCAAGCCTTTCCTAAGAGAAATGGCAGCCCCTCCCCGTCCCCCCCGCCCCCCCGCCCAACCTCGTACCAGTTTCCTACGGAGGCAACACAGTCCGACACCAAAGGGACTCCTTTGAGACGAGACTGGAAATCCCCTGTGGCCCTCCGGTCGCCTCTGGAGCTCCAGAGCGGGTCCTTCCTCACCACGCGTCCGTGCCACACTTCACAGAGAAAAAGCCCTGCACCTTGTTGTCGCTCTGTTTGTCTTGCTTCAGCTATTAAAAGGCACATAGTTTCAAACTTACTCTTTGCTCAACTTTGTTTATATGCTTAAAAGAATTACTATTTCTCTTTAATATTTAACATTTCTCTTTTTTTTTTTTAAAAAAAAACACTATTTCTGAATAACTTCCTATAGTAAGGAGTAAGGGATACCCCAACTTGGCCCTATAAGTCCCACCTACGCCAGAAGTTTCCTGACAGCCCTTAGCCGACCGGGTCTGTACCTCCTCACAGGAGCCCGTGTGAGATCACCCGTTCCCGTGTTCAGCTCTGCACTGCCCTGAGGGACATTGAAAGTGGGGACGGTCTCCTCAAGTGTGTCTTCATTTTAGGTATAGCACGTTAAAGCACTTGCTAGGTCTCTTCAGACTCAGAAGCGAGTGTTGACCAAAATGTGAGACACGTGGGTCGCAGAGCAGCCTTTGGGGGTCGACCCAAAAGACACAACTTCAGCACATGTAAGAAAGCCAGCTGCTATTTTATGCTTTCTCCGATGGTTCTCCTCTTCTTTTTCTCCTTTCTTCAGTTTTTCCAAGGTGTACAGTGTTCCATACTTGCTCTTAAAAAGTCATGTGGCATTCACACGTGTTGTGTTAGATGGGTTTTGTGTGCAGATGCAGTAAGAATTCCTTGTTCACTCACCAGGCTTTTTTCCGACCCTTCCCTCCCCTTAGGTCGCTTGATATACATACACCTCTTAAAAAAATGACACAGTAACAAACCTGGTATTTAGATCACACAGAACATAAACATTTTTCCTTAATTGCTATGAACGTGTGTTTGAGTGGGGAGGATGCAGGTCGACCCACGTGACTGACTAGCTGACCCCCATTGCTGTAATGTCATGTCGTTTATAGATTCTGCTGATGGACAGGAATGGATGAAGGCAGTTACTGTCAGCACAAAGCCTTAAAACCTGCTGACTTTAAATGAACCTGCGTGGCCCTGTGCCGGCCCGAGCCACTGAGGGGACTGACTGGCTGCCGTGGTGGGGGCAGTGCAGGGGCACTGGCCGGAACAGCCACCAACCAGCCAACACATGGCCCGGCTCGCGCTGCCCCCCACAACGCACGCAGAGCCATTCGATCCCAGTTGTTCTTGTCCCAGCTGGCTGCAGGGGGCGGGGGTGGGGGTAGGGTCAGGGGGACGTTCAGATAATCATTACTTTGGAATAAAATGCGAACCAAAAGAAAAAAATCCCATCGCACAAAGTAGGGAAGCCGCCTCAACCCTCGGTCCCACTCCTTTGCCTCGCCTCTTGAGAAGGAGTGCGACCCTCACTGTCCCGTCAAACACCACTAGGTCCTGGCTGTTCCGCGGAACTCGCACCAACTTTGCGCTGCCATTTGCAGAGTCAAGGGCAAAACCGTAGCGCATCCACCTGTGTAGTTAGATTGCTAGAATCTTCTGGAGCTGGGGCAAATTCAGTGTGGATTCCAGACTGACTTGGATTTTTAGTACCATTCTCCCTGCCTTTCTAATTTAAATGGACAAATTAAGCAAAAGGGTATGCTCACGACCGAGTGCAGATGCACTTATCAAGGATCATATCCTCTGAGCGTTCACTGAGGCATGGAAATTATTTCGGAGTAGAAATTTGCAACAGGAGGACAAATTCACCTCATTGTTCTGAAAAGAGAACTAGATCACTTTGGTTTTAGGTGATGTTTTCCCACTTTTACGATCGTGAAATCTTGTGCCTCCAAGGGCATTGGAAAATGACAAAAGCCTGTCTCTCAAAAGTCCTGGGTAACAGTTCGTTGGTTGTTTCTTTCAGATCACTCTCTTCCAACTCTTGTCGCAACTCTCACCAAGTGCAAATTGGCTGCTTGGGAGGAAGTTAACTTGCTCTGGTGGGAGGGCAGAGGATGAGGGGCAGTTGGCATAGGGGAAAAAAGTCTCAAGTCCAAGCTGAAATACCACATTATCACTTACTCTCTGCTAAATTGTTTTTGCATTTACACTTGAGGTTATAGTCTGTGCCTAGACCTAAAATGCACCAGCGGGGGGATTTTTTTTAAATCCTTCAAAATACCAGTTTTTTCCCACAAGTACAATTGTTCTTGTGCCTTCTGTGGCTCTCAATTCCATCTTTTTGACTTTATTTCCAATTACTACAGCTGCAATAAACACTAGATTTTTTTTTTCTGGCTGTTTGACATAATGTTGATAGCTATGCATATTTTGTGTCTTTTTAAAACAAAGCGGGAGAATACGTTTTTGAAGAAGAGAATTTTTAGAACAGTTTGATACCGCAAATTATTTTTTCCTCAATTGTTTGAGCAGCATTCGAGTTTTGAAAATTCTTGTAGAAGCCAATTTTTTGTAACTGTGGTGCAAATCTTGTGTTTTCTTAGCCTAATGAAAAGTAGTATAGAAGCAATATTTCATACCATGTGCTATGTATGTGTGTGCAGATGTGTGAACACAAAAGCACATACACACATATACACACATGTAAAATTATACATATATATGCGTGTGAAGTGGAAAGCTTACCTTTTCCTATCTAGAACTAAGGACCTATTTTAGACATTTGTTATGTTTTGTGAAAAGAATGTTCTATTTGCAACAACGAAACACTTAATTCTTACTGTATCTCTGGCTGTTTAATGAGGACGTTTCACATTAAATGGTAAAACAATGTGGAAGATGGTAGAAGGTAGTAATTATTTAAGGAAACGTTCACCCACATTTTCCTGAAGTTTGCTTTGTGCCTCCGAGTATTATTTAATTAAAGTGTTTTATGTTTGCAGAATCTTTGTTGCTGTGCTAGGGATGTGGGTGAATATCATTTTTAAGAATTTTAAAAACAAAAAAAAGCAAAACAAAAACACTAAAGCAAGAGGGGAACTTTTATAAAGCAATGTAAATATTTAACCTCATGGCTGCCGTTACGTAAGACATGAGATTTTAATAAATAACTACATTCTCACAACATCTGTTGAATTTATTACGAACATTACAGGGGCTGTGCAGACAGTTGAAAGCATTCTTGAAAATCCTGCTCTCTACTTTTAAAAGATAACAGTCTCTTTCATCAGATGTCAAGGGCAAGGGCAGTGCAGTTTCTGTAAATTTAGGAAATTTATTTTCTATGTACATGAAGACATATAGTAAGCAACCCCCCTCCCCCTACACACTCATACACACGTACAGGTTTATGGTCACTCATAAAGCTGAAGATTTGGGGGCTTTAAAAATAGAACACCCCCCTCCCCCGCAAAGCAATCAAATAAATTTATCAAAGAAAAAGCGGTTTACAGACTTCCCCGAAAGGAGTGGTGTACATGCGAGGACAGAGCCGACCTCTTTGCCGTGTATATTATAGAGTATTCATTGGTGTGAATAGTACAAATGTTTCCTTCTGGTACAAACTCTGTGTTTGCAAATGACAAGAAACATTGTTTTCAAAAAGCTCCCCTTAAAAGAATGTGACTGGTTGATAGGAGTAAGCAGTTACTGTATTGCACTTAAATGTTATGTTGAAGGAAATGCAGCTTTGTTTTCTGTAGATCTGTTGGTTGTAAACCATCTCTAAAAGTAAAGCTAAAATGCTCGTAGTCAGAGCTGGGATCAAAACTGGTATTTAACCTTTGCATCTTCTTATAATTATCCTTCTAGGAATATAACGGAATCTCGCCGCACCTGGGCTCTTTGAGTCTTTCAGCTGAGCCCTCTTGCAAATCTGACTCCCCCGCCCCCAAAATGCACAAACATGAGCGGACAAGGCAAACAGACTGGCCTTCTTTGGTGAAAATGTGTTCATTCTGTATTTTTAAAATACTGTAATCCACCACACCGCAGCGCGGGGAGTGGGAGAGTATTTTAAAACTGTATATTAACACGTCTAAATGAGAATTCGAGAAACAGATGCGTTTGGCCTTGGTCTCAGCGCTACCTAGAAGAATCAAAGTCGTGGTTTTCCCAATACTGTCCCAGCCATTTCTCATGTGTATATAGTATAAACCGTGACAAAACACTGCCTTTATATTATTTAGCAATATGTTGTAAATAGCATTATTAAGCTCTTTTTTTTGTAATAAAGATCCTTTGATTTGAATATAGTACAATAACTGAACTGATAAAGTCAATTATTTTTTTTTTAGCTAGAGGCAATTTCAATTGTGGATTTTTGTTGTTGTCTATTGTTCTGAAGACTTTGCATAATTTATTGGTTTAATTTATCCTAATTTATTTGATGAAGGTGTACAATTTTGTATTACCAAGGATGTACTGTAATATTAATTGATATGATTTTAAAAAATGAGACTCCCTGTCCATATTAAAAAGAAAATAAAAAGGTGCAGTAGACAATTGATTTTAAAGTAAAAGTAAAAAATTTAGTTTGGCAGCTACTAAATTTTAAAACAGGAAATAAAAGGTTGTTGGGGGGAGGGGGGAAAGGGGGTTTTACTTTGTGTGTTTTAAGCTTTTGTATACTCTCCAAACTTTTACCTTTTTCTTTGTACCACTTAAAGGATACAGTAGTCCAATTGCCTTGTGTGCCTTCCATCTTCTCTTAAACTGAATGTATGTGCAGTATATATGCAAGCTTGTGCAAAATAAAATATACATTACAAGCTCAGCGCCGTTTGATTTTTTTTGCAAAGCCTGACATTTAATTTTTGAACCTGGGTTGGATTGTAGGGCAACAGGCTAGTTGCAACTGTAAGATCAAGTATGGACTTTCCCTTTTATTACAGTTCTTAATTATACAAACCTAACATCGATGCACGCAGCTCCTAGGAATGATCTTTTCTTTATTTTGGGCACTTGCAGTGAT